TTTTTGCTACATGCCTTTTAAAAATTTTTATGAAGGTTTTTTGGGGCATTTTTCGCCAAAAAATGGATTTTTGGATCCTGAGCCCTGGTTTTACAACCAAATGATCTGAAAATCGGTATAAGGGTACCTTGAACATGTGTCTACAGAATAGCAGTCACATTTGGCATACACCACTTTCAAATGACTCATTTGGGGGACTTTAATGGCTATTTTCAGCAAAAAAAGGGCCAAAAGTGCTATACCCGTTCCATGTTCTATCTAAAGAATGTGTTTGTGTAGCGTTAGACTTCATATTAGACTTTTGATACAGTACTACTTTCGTCTACTGCCATGTCACAACTAAATCACCCATTACGGCATGTAATGCTGTGTCAACAAAACTAGACGCAGCAAAAACCAAACATACCTGACTTTGAAAACTTGGAAATGATCGTTATTCTTTATTTGACCGTTCTAGAATGTTATTTAGAACAGGTAAACAAAGTGTGACGTAATAATGTGGTAGGTCCATTTACCTGCATACGACGCTTCATTATCATTTTCTTATATTTCATACATAACTGCTATCATATACAATGTACTTTGTTACCCTTATGCTTTGAATGCCTGTGTTTGTTTTGACATACATCTGTAATGTTCTTGTTTTGATGACGACACGAACATAAGCTATGAGCTTGAGTATGTCGTATTTTGTCATCAGTTGTAATTAAGAAAGAACACTTACCGCGAAGTCGCTTGTCAAGCCGATACGGTCGGGCAATGGATGACGGGATAGCGTCGCAAGTTGACAGTCGCCATCTTGTCAGCTTGTTGTTTTGGTAGAGAGGCTAGGGAAGTTGCAAATCCCTTTGTACAAGCAAGGACGTCTCGTTGAACGTCCTTGGTACAAGCTAGTAATAGTACGCCACCTTATTCTCAAGATGTAATAAAATGTGTCTTTTCAAGGCATGAAGGGAGCCGATAAAGGAATACTTTGGTCCGATATTTTGTACGAAATTATCGGGGGCGAGGCGGCAGTTGCTTCGAATAGTTGACCGACTCACACATATTCTCATCTTTGTGCAGCGCTCCTACTTATGCATGACGTCGTAAATTTACAAGGACCAGCCATCACACTCTCGCGGACATTCATGCTACATACGTAATACCCGACCGGAGCTTTTACTCTACTCTACATATACTCTTTAAGATAAATCTGTCGCCGACTCTACATTCCGTATTTTCGGTGATTCGGTGTTTCTCAACGAATAGTTCTCCCAGTCCTTGAGGGGAAGGCAAACAATTAACTTACTGACTTTTATAAGACAGTCTTGCCAAATTGCCAGCTTCCTTTCAATCAAACTTTCTGGGTACGGGTATAACCATAGAGGTAGAATTGTATCTCTAAAAAAAATACCCGGCGCAAACCTTGTCATGGATAAAATTCACATCAGGCTCCGGCCGCGGCACATTTCTCTGTTTTGACTCCTAAAGGACCGAATGCTAAATATGAAGAATGTGTACAAATAATTTTTCTCTCACTTTGATTTTTAACTTCCTTGATTTCTATCAAGCAACCACAATGGATGACGGGATAGCGTCAAAACCTCACTTTCGCCATTTTGTTATTTTCAACGGTAAAGGGAAGTTATAGCGAGTTGTAAATCCCATTGTAGAAGTTAATATTAGAAGGCCACCTTATTCTGTGCAAGCAATAAAATGTATCTAGAGTATACTTTAAGTAGCTTTTTTGCATATTTTTGCCCAGGTAGGCTAAGTAATAGCCCTTCTAACTCCATGGTTTGAGGCATAAAGGGATCCATGGTTTTACTCAAAATGGTCGGATCCGGAGGAATATTGTGATCTGACAAAATGTAGTGTGTTACATGGAGAGACGTTGTTTGACCGTTTCCAAAATCATATCCAGTTCCTTGAGTAACTGTTTTTTTTTGTGTGTGTATATAAGCAAACTTTGCGGAGTCTCAAGTCATATTCCTTCCGACATGTATCATGTAACGAATTCGAAGCAAGCCTCTTTTCAAATCCAACCGGAAAAACTCAAAATGTCGTGGCGTCGTTGTCATCATCAGTCATATTACGTCCTTGGCTGTTTGAAACGCACACCCCAACGTTTTCGGCTTGATTGTACAATGTACAAATTCTAAGATTTATTTCGACTGCGACACGGCGCTATCGCCGCATCAACACGCCAAATGTGCCACGAAAAAAACAACACCGCATTGAATGACGGGATACTGCTACCCACGCTACGTCCGCCATCTTTGTTTCCTCCTCTGAACGCTATTGTGCTCCGTCAGCTGTTGCAAATTTCCATGTAATCTTCGGACATCGAAAGCTAAAAAGTCCTTAACATTGAAATGAACAGTTTATTGTTGCATTAGTTACGATTATTTTCGTGTGCTAGTCGGAGTTTCTGAAAATTATGTATGAAGGTAACAACGAAGAGATTCTTTGTGATATCGACGAGTTTCATGACGATCACGAGCGTCTGACGTCTAATCTGTACGCTACTTGATTGAAGTTTTCCATTGATCAAACTTTATTTTTGCTACTTTTTGTGATGTAAACGTATGTACAGGCTGATGATTGTGCATGTATGTATTCGTGGCTTGTTTTGTACGTAGCAAACGCAGCAGTGTTGGAGTAGAGTAGAGTAGAGTTGGAGCGGAGAGCACATGATAGCTAACATATCGCAGCTTTCTTCCAGTTATTACTGTGAAAAGAAAAACAAAACACGTAAACGAAAAAAATATTACAAGTAAACTTACTGATCTAAATAAAGTTCACTGTTACTAATGGGTAAACATGACCCGTGTTTGTATTCTTTGTGTCGTTATTTGTGTTCGATGCCCTGTCCACCCCCAGCCCCATAGTTTCAAGTCCGAGAGTTTGAGCCGGAAAGGCCGGGTAGTTGAAAAAATGCGCTGGCAAATTGGCTTTTCAAAAAAAGCGACATCTACTGTATACTGTGGATACGTAAGATAAACATCATACAAAATTAAAGATATCAGGATAAACAAAATCAAAGGCACCAGAACACGTACGAATACGCCAGACAATTCCTGCGCGCAATGCCGATCGTAAATGGCAGAAATTGCGCACGCACAACCAAGGCCTGGTTAGGCTCTACGCGCGCGCCAACACATTCCCCAGGCTTACCAGGCAAAGTGCGCGCACCGCCGCTAGTGCGTGGCGCTATACGCGCGCGCGCAGACAAGGACCGATCTGGCAGGTTTCGCGTACCAACAAAATCCATAGTCGTACCAACAAACTGCGCGCAGCGCCGCTAGTGGGGGGCGTTATGCGCGCCCGCGCGCAGCGCCGCTACGGCGTGGCCACTTGCGCGCGCGCGCATGAGCGCGCGAAATCGACCAATATCGAGTCCCAATTCTTAGCTCTTTTGTGTGCCGTTTTATTGTCATTCATTATAATCCTCCTGGAGCCTTTCTTGTTCATTGTTCTGCCAGTCTTTGTGTTTTTAATGTCTAGGTTTTTGGAAAGGTATTTGCTCAGTTTTAATGGCTTGTGAAAGGTACATGTAACTGGCTCCAAGTAGAAAATGTTACACCAAGGAGCTTATCATCAATGAAAGCTCCTTGGTTACACAGGTACTGATGTATCTTAGCTAATGTTTCTAATCAATATACTATATACTATTATAGCATTTATTCCTGTATTGTGTTGCTATGTGTCTACCCATAGAGGTAGAAGGGACACTATTAACCTCCTTGGTCTACCTGTGTGAAATGAAGAAATTCAATTCAATTCATTGCAGGTAGGGAATTATGGGTAATCGCCATCTCGGACAACCCCACGGTCCATGAAGTAGGGGAGCCAGAGGTCCAGTATGTAGGAAACATACATGGCAACGAGGTACTCAATTTCATGGTCTTGAGTCTTGTGCTGAACAAAATCTGTTTTCACACAGGTTTTGTGACTTGAATAATTCAAATAAGATTACTAGTATTGACATTAATCATCTTGTCAAGTACTGTATTTTATCTTTTACAGTCAAGTTCCAGTGGAATTTTCATAAGCCAATTTATGAAATTATGCTCAAGAATTCAATTTTTGTTATAATTTAGAATCTTGTTTTCATGCTGACAGGTGATTGGTAAAGAATTGCTGCTTCACCTATTGGAGGATCTGACAGGGGGTTATGGGGAGAATGAAACCATCAGCAGGTTCCTGAACAGCACCAGACTCCACATCCTCCCCGCCATGAACCCTGATGGGCTGGAGGGCAGCTTCGAGGGAGACTGTTACAGCTCCATTGGCAGGTAGGAAGGACCCAATTTTCTCTCCATGAGGGAGGTCAGGGGCTCATTGTTACTTCTGGGTACAAAAATCTTATTTTGCGTGGGTTGTTTGTGGGTTTACGTCTCTTGTCTAGACAAGAGTAGGTTGGCAGCATGTGGGTAAGATTGACACGCAGAATGGTTAAAAGGTCTGACACAGGAATTGAGTTGAACATGAAGGTCTCAGAATCTGACCAAAAGCCAGCAGGAATTTAAGAGATGGACATGGGGGGAATTCAGGAAGCAGAGGATTGCATACTATCCAGAAGTCTGAAATCTCTGATTTCTTGTTGTTGCTGTTATATGGCATGGACAGGAGAGTCCAAATGTGTATATCTTGGCCTGTTGAAGCTTGACTTCCACAACATGCCCGTAGCCAGGATTTTTAATGGGGGGGTTCTTCCCACTGCTTGAGGGGACCTCGAGCGCCGTAGGCGCGAGGCGAGCGCTGAAGGCGCGAGGTTCCTAGGGGGGTCCGGGGGCATGTTCCCCCGGAAAATTTTGAAAAATGATCCTTCTAAAATGGAATTTCATGCATTTTTGAGAGGGTTTCCAAGAAAAAATCAGAGATAAATTTTTATTCAATGACAAAGGGAGAAGTTTTTCTATGATTCCAGTCCATCTTTTCAAGAAAAATCTTGGACCTTTACATAAAAAGTGGACCAAAAAGTGGACCTTTAGATAAAAAGTGGACCAAAAAGTGGACCTTTGAGCCTTGTGGGGGGGTTCTTCCGAACCCCCTGAACCCCCCCTGGCTACGGGCATGCACAAGATGACCATGCAGTATAATTTGTGTCTTTATTTCAGGGGGAATGCTCTGAACTATGACCTGAACAGGAACTTCCCGGATAAGTTTGAAGAGAACACACACCCCATCCAGCCTGAGACACGGGCCATCATGAACTGGGCCAGAACTATACCATTCTCACTGTCAGCCATCTTCCATGGTGGGGCCATGGTGGCAAACTACCCCTGGGACAACACACCGTTAGGTGACTGTACAGAGTCTACTATAGACTGTTGACCATTGTGGTATCACAGATACTTTGCCAAACATCTTTCTCCAACCTTCTCTTCTCTGTTTTTTGTTTGTTTATTCTTGACACTCGATGTGAAATGTTCATGTTCATTCACAAGAGATGGTGTAACACTTCTCAAACTATAAGGGGCATTGCAAACTTCAGCAAACCAGATTCATTAAACTTAGTCAATCAAAGGTCAGTCTCCAACTTCAATTTCTTTAAAACTGTCCTTGGCTTAGATGTCTGACAGCATTAATTGACCTGCAGGACAAGATGGTCCATCAATCTACAGCCGCTCACCTGACGATGACATTTACCGGCACCTGGCGCTGACGTACTCCGAGAACCACGGCTCCATGTACCAGGGCGACGTCTGCTCTGGGGACTTCTTCGAAGATGGAATCTCCAATGGAGCAGACTGGTATCCCTTGAGAGGTATTTTAGTAACTTAGTATCCTCTTCATTTCCGGTGAGACATAAGGTCATGACTTTTCCTCTCCATCTGGGTCTGTCTTTGGCCAGTGTCTTTGATAAAACATTCCTATGAATGCCAGGTGGTGGTACACAGTGTATGTATCTATTAAATAGCTCACAAACAATGTTCCTAATTTGATATGGTTTGTTGCAGGAGGGATGCAGGACTGGGTATATATCCATGGAGACTGCCTGACCATCACCCTGGAGGTTTCCTGCTGCAAATATCCAACAGAAGACCAACTGAGGGACCACTGGGCAGAGAATAAGAACTCTCTCATAGAACTACTTCTTCAGGCGCATAGAGGTAAAGTGAGGACTCGGCTATCACTGTGTCAGACAATTGCAATGCGTATGTTGATAACCTACTTATTTTATATTGTCAAACTGTATTGCCATACTTATCTATAAAATAGAAACATTATTAACCAAATTTTATTGTCCAAACAAGCTTGGTCCACACTCGACCAACCTAAGATTGAAGTGTTCCCCAAACTTGTTTTGTCCATCCGTGCAGGCATTAAGGGCCAAGTGTTCATCAATGGAACAGACACTCCAGTCCCAGATGCCACTGTGACCATAGGAGACAGGGGCAACAGCTTCCACACTACATCAGCTGGCGAGTTCTGGAGGATTCTCGTACCCGGGCAGTACAGTGTGACGGTGGGTTTGAGGGTTCAGTCTTGGTTTTTCTTTTCTGCCTTCATCATGTTGAAGATTCCGTTGCCTGTATACTTGAATCTGTAGCCACACACCCCTCTATTAAAATGTAGGAATGCAAAAATGATATCATAAAAAGTGCAAATACTGTATTTGATGGACCCAGAGCCATTCTCTAATTGGTTGGGCTAATGTAACGAAAAGTCAGGATCAGTCTATCAGGGCCTACATGTGATATCCCACTTCTGACACCATTTTGCGAAGTTCTCTGTGAGCTGCTGTCAGATCGTTTCTGTAACCTATGATGTACATCTATCCTCAGGTATCCAAAGCTGGCTTCAGTAGTGAAACAAGGACAGTGACCGTCCCTTCCAACCTGACCTTCAGTGCAGCTATAGAGGACTTCTACTTGGTGGAGACCGGCACCAGCTCAGCTCCGAATGCTTCCGTACCGTCCCTTACATTCATCATTACCTCAACACTAATATGCCTGCTAAAAGTGGAAACTGACCTTTGATAAAGCCTTGAAGAAGTTGTATATTTTCACAGTAATGTAACATGGAAAAACCTTTATATTTTTAAGTATTTTTTATAAAAATGTATCGTGAAAACCCTATTGTAATGTGCATGCCTGTGCATGGCAGCTACTAACAGACTTTTTAAATAGAGAAGATGTAATATATATATATATATATAACATATATTGTAATGTTTTATGTAGAGGTAGATATGCATGTATTCATTTATCATCAGGGATGGACCAAAGAAAATTGGGTGCAAATTTTGTCAAAGCAACCATTTTTGTTATTTTTTTACTAGTCTTGTATTTGCTATGTGAGGGTTTTTTTCCACACATCTTTTTGGAATCCTCCCAGTAAGGTACCAGTTTACGGCCAAATAAAATACTTGTAGCATTTGAAACACATTTAAATCATCTTTGTCTTGTTTTGAGTAGGTATCATCAAGTAGTTTGATGTTGAAAAAACACTTTATTAAAAGGAACCAATCATTAAACTCTGTCCTCCTGTTGAAGGACATGTAGTGTAGATTAGAAAAAAACTTGCTCAAAAGGTGCCTAAGGTAGCCAAGAGACAAATTATGGTAAAATCAGTGTGACTTTCAAACGATTTACTTATCAAGCATTGAATGCAATGAGGTTGTGGTTCACTACCAGTGAAAAACTACAAGATGCTGTAGCTTGATAAAGTATTGTTGAATTTTCATCCATAAAAGTATAGTGCCATGGTAGGAGATTATTGTTCAAAATAAAAGCTATTCAAAGATTTAAAGAATCTATAAAATGCTAGTCACTATGGTTGACTATGATAAGAAAGCAAGGTTTGATATCAGTTGCTGTTTCAAGCATTTGTGTCATTACGAAATTGGATGAAATGTTATGGAATTCTGAATGACTGTGGTTGCAGATGTCTTGTTACTCCTTTCACAAAGCATGTCTAAGGATTATACACCCCTTAATTGCACATGAGAAATGATATTTGATATATAGATATGATATTACACTTTGGCATGTGTCCATAACTCTTATTCACCATAAACTTATCCTGGATGTAAACTGGTAACTTTTCTTTACAATTTCTTTCTATTTTCACACAACACAACCTCATAATCCTAGATGGTCCATCCCTGAAGAAAGAAGTTAATCTATGAAGGATGGCCCTTTCTCCCAGATGTAAGATGTAACACTACTTATACTATGTGCCATGTTTGCGATTGATTACTCTGGTGTGTATTGACAACTTAGTAGCATACACTTTTTGCTGAAATTGTGAAAACTGAAACTACTCAGTTAAATGAAATAAAAGAATTCAAGTAGCACTGACCCCTGTTTTCATTGTATAAACTCCCACCATTCCATCTCAAAGGAATTGGAACAGCAATGTCTTTTGACCATTGTGAAGCAAATATCTTCCATTCCCTTGAGGGCCTTAACAAAATTCACCATCAGCTGTTGTGTTACGCCGAAAGGTGGTTATACGGCTATACAGATCACTCCTTCAGTATTCAGAATGCAACACAATGTTAGAATCCATGGCCTTGTTAACATCTTTGAACTTCTTTACCCTTGGTGATATCAGCAGTTTTTTTTATGAAATTATCATTCAATTTAAAATTTATGAAAATGCATAACTTACACTGTACCAGCCAATTTTAGCTACAAATTTGTCCTCAGCATCCATGAGTCTCCTGGTTAGACCGCATCAATTTGAAAAGTCTCAAGGTGTAAGCCAACTTAATGCTTTTTAGTTTACCGGTAGGTGTCTTATGCACATTGGCTCAAAGGTGTTTAATGTTGTATATCTGTAGGTGTCCACAACAGGGGCTTACAGAACTGAGACCACTACTGAAGGGAGAGAAGCAAGGCACTTGGTTGGAAATGGCTGCAGACTAAGAATGCTGGACCCTTTACTATCTCTTCTAGTAGTACATGTAGTACTATTGACATGCATAAATGTTGTGCTGTAAAGGTTCAAAGAAGCTTCCTTGTTGGTTGAATATGAGAATTCAATATATATCAAAACATTTCTCCAAATTTTTTCCAATTATTGTGATGGATTGAAGCATTTGTTTAACCTGGATAGTGTGCAGCTGATAATGAATTGTGATCATTTTACCTTTAAATTTAGCATAGTATTATTAAGATCTTTTGTGGTCTAGGTATAACAAAGCTGTAAGTCATTGTATCATGATAAACCATTGTTAAGTATGTCAACATGGTCTTACTTCTCCAAAGCATGCCTAGCCATTTATTCTTACATGGCATTTGTCCAAAGAACTACAACAAATGTAGTGCACTTATGCAGGGAGCTTTAAATTCCTCCTTGACTTATGTAATGCTTTCCATCATGTACATGTATTTTGCTTCAGAATTATTTCCTGTCATTCTCTAGACCTCTTACATGTTTATATTGTCAACTGTCCAGCCTGTAAATTTGGGATCTCCAAAAAACACAGTAAGGTCTAACCAAACATGTTTAAAGTACTTTATCATGGTCATTGAATCTCCAAAACTTTCAAGCAATGTGTCTGCAGATAAGTATGTATGGAGGCAATAATAAAACGTCACGCACAAGTTGTGAAACAATCAAGGTCTCTCTCTTTGAAGTTGTGCTGTTGCAGTACTATAGATAATCAATAGGAGTCTCTCTTAACCACCGTGACAGATTGTTGTAACCACATTGATGTGGAAGCGGCTTATAAAACTGCCCCGTTCCTAGATATAGGATAACTGAAAGGCATTCAGATTGAAAGTTGAAACCGGTTTCTTAGGAAATGTGTAATCGATCCTGCAATCCACATAAAACCACATGCTTTAACGATATGTGTTTGTTACACTCTTCCTTATGAATTAACACAATCCTAGTCACCAGGTACATACACAATCCTAGTCACCAATAAATTCATATTGACAGCATAAACTATAGTCTCCACACATCATATATATAGTATATTTAGATAGTAAATCCATTTCATTCTACAAAAGTAGTATCAAAGCAGCTGCATGTGTTGAGGTATTCTACTATCTGTGGCTATGATCAAAAAGATCTCCTCTGACTGACAAGAAAATACTGCTTATCACGGTTGTATGCACTGTGTAAAAACCCACTTCTGATCAAGTGGAACTGTCCGGAAAAGTATGTCAGTAATGTATAGTTTGGATTGTACCATGTCGACTACAGGGATGTTGATATCATTTGAAAGCATAAAAGTCACAGCTAAGTTGTTGGAACCATGATGGCAACTATTTGAAGACAGCTTTTATTGTGAGACAAATTTCTCGCCCTTCGCGATGGAGCCCTTAAGTTCGTCCATGGCGTCTTCCACCAGTTTCGTCTCAAAGTCGCTCAGCTTCCCCAGCCCCAGGTTCCTCTCAATGCCGTTTTTCTGTGGGAATACAGGATCCTGGTAGTTACCTCTTATTTAATACATATAGGTAGCTCTCTAAGCATTTGAGCACAACTTTTTAAAGATGAACATTACATGGTTCAAATCATGATCAGATCAAGACAAAGCAGCCTGTTATAAGATGGTCTGTCTTTAAACGTACTGTTAAAAAACAGATTCACAGATTCACGTTGAATACTAATTCTTGCAAATAAAGAACACAAGTACAAGAACCCCTACAGCACAAATAAGCAGCTTGACCAACCTTCATTTCTCATCTATTGAAAGACAATTTCAAGCAAATATTTCCTGTATTCAAACACGAGATGTTTCTTACCCCAAGGAGAAGAGGAGTGGAGAAGTAGGAACACTCCGTCTCAGAAGACTTGATGAAACCACATTCAATCACTCCTTCCTTCCCGTTCAATGCAGCAAGGAGCTAAGGATAGAGGGGAAAGCAGTTATTTTCCTTGTACGCAAACTACATGTAACTATAACAGCATATTCAATTTTATTTGATTGTGTAGACTACATTTTTGCCTATATACTATTGGTCCATACAATGTTGCCTACAACATAACTCATAATTCACACTTACTAAGCCCAAAGTTGAGAAATTACTTTGAAATAAACTTACTGAGTTGGTAAACCTGGCCCCAGCATATGCCATGGACAGTGTAGCTGATCCCTGTGTAACAAAATGTGTGCATGATGAAAAGGACTTGCGACATAATGCCTTTAAACATACATGATAAAGTTTGAACACATTGCCATAAAATGATAAAGAAACATACATACTGACAACTCTCGTACTTGAGAGTTGTCAGGTCACATGTCAGGTCATACTTACAGCTCCAGCCTTAGCATTGACGACCTCAGTACCAGCATCCTGGATTCTCTTGGTCAGATTGTCCAGTGTCTCTGGATCAAACTCCACAGACGGAGTAGCCTGGTGGGAAGAAGGTAGCCTGTGTTACACTATCTCTCATTGGCTGATTAGGCCCCCTTCCCGTATAGGAGTGGCTACAAGTTTGATGTAGTCAGGCCAGAAAGAAGGCAGCCATTAAAAATTAGAAAGGAAGACACAAGTGTAAGAGTGCTGCCTTTATTTTCTGTACAATGTTACCTTATCGGATAAAACAGTGACACCCTTTTATTGCAAGGAAATCTGACATGCCCCTGACTGTCTACAGAGGTCTGGCACGTCGCATCTTGTACTAAGCTACCAAAAGGGTGTGTAACGGTCATGATGATGACATTAACAGACCTCAAGGTCAAAGGAACACACCTGGCATGACCTTACCTGTGAAATGAGAGGGATGATGGTCTTGCCAGCATGACCTCCGACCACGGGAACATTAACATCCGCTGGGTTCAGACCCTGTGCAGACAGAACGCTTGTTAGATCAGTATTCCCTGACACAAAATTTGTCAGCTTATATCTATATAAATGTACAGCTGTCATGGTTTGGATCTCCAATACTATTTTATCACAGAATAGCAAGAGTGGGGGGAAGGGGGAAGTATTGAGGAAGGGTAAAGAGTGGGGTGGGGGAAAGACTTGAGGAAGGGAAGAGTGAGGAGGGGGGGGAGCAGTGAGGAAGGCCAAGATTGAGGGGGGGGGTGAGAGTTGAGGTAGGGGGTGTCAATAAAATCATAATTGTTTACACCCATACCTTCAGGTTAGCCACGAAGGTGTTGGCCCTGACCACATCCAAGGTCGTGACCCCAATGACCCTGCCGGGGTCGTATGTGCCGGCAGCCTTGCACACTTCAGAGGCGATGGGCACTGTGGAGTTAACCTGGGGAATGACAAGGAAATAAAATCATCAATCATTTTATGAGAGAGGAGAACAAAATTTTTATTCAAGGGATTACTATAGACAGTCTTGCTTGCTTGAGAACCCAATTTAACATTATTCTAGATCTTCAACTGTCACACTGCCAGCATTTAGCCTCTGCTGTAAAATATCCAACACATGCCACAGCCTGACCTCCAACACTGGGGAGTTTCAAGGCAGTACAAAAATAGCCCTGGCTATTACATTTACAAGGTAGCCTCCCTGGAAATCACTCTAGTATAGGGTTTGCTGGACAGACACTCCCAAACAATGCTGCTAAAAGAGCAAAAGTAAATGCATTTACAGCATTAAATCCAAAAAGTCTGAGCAAATTGAGGATGCAGAATTGCCTTGACTTACAGGGTTAGTAATGAGGAGTAGGAAGGCAGTAGGGCAGTGCTGGGTACAGGCCTTCACCAGGTCTCGTACGATGGAGGCATTGGTGTTGAACAGGTCATCTCTGGTCATACCTGAAACACAAACATTCAGGTCTTTACTTGTATACATTCAGGTGTGATATTCAAAACAGCAAGAACATTTACAATATGCAATCAAAACAGATTTTCCTGCTGTGAATGATGAATCTTGTAACTAAAAATATTGTGTGCACACTGTGCAGCAATTTGTATGTTTATACCTAGCGAGCTGTCAGTCTGTGTGTGCAAGGTTCAAACACAAACTTTCTTCAGGGAAACCATTGCTTGCTGTTAGTGACAAAGGAACTCATGTGAGCTTCACGTGAGTGGAGGAAGATTGGCAGGCAGATTGACCGGAAGTCAAAAGGTCAGACACAGGAAACAGGATGAACTTGAGAGCAAGTTGACATCACGTAGGTGGAATAACATTCACAGGCAGAATGACAGGAGGTCAAGCAGGTAATAGAGTGAATGTGAAGGTCACGAAAATCCAACAAAGTCCGTAATCTCTTATTTCTTGTTGGTTTTGGTTATGTATCAGTATTAGGACAGATGATGAACCTCCATCTTACCAGGTTTCCTGGGAACACCAGCAGGAATCACCACGACGTCGCATCCTTCCAGACACGCCCCCAGCTCCGCATCTCCAAGGTAACCCTTCACATCTGACCCGGTCTCGATGTGGCTGAGGTCGCAGGCCACGCCGGGCGTGTGTGCGATATCGTACAGAGCCAACTGTGTGATGGCTGGGTTGTGCTTCAGCAAGAGGCTCAGCGGTTGGCCAATTCCACCGGAGGCACCAAGAACTGCAACTTTGTTGTTACACTGGAAGACAATAATTGTGACATTTACATAAATTTAACCAGAATATGACAATACCTTATACCAAACTTAAAACGACAAAAACATATACAAGTAAACATTTTAAATATATAAAAGATTTATTAAATACATGTATATAAAACAGGAGCCTCTTTTATATATTTTTGTCGAAAATAGTCGCCACGGCTAGTACTAGTATGTTACATAAAAAAGGTAAGCTTTGAGTCCTCAAAGTTACATCATCTGTTAATGTTAATGATTAAACTCGTTTTGACAGCATTCACTATGAATGATTCAGTATGAAGTCAGCAGAAACCCTGAGCATAAGTTTCCACCTTTCCACCATTTTCCTTTGGTGTTTTTCGTGGCGATTATTTTTTGACCTTCATACGATCTTCAGTGCTGTGTACAGTGCAGAGCGCTCGCACATGCCATAGCGCCCCCGGCACTCTATCTGTTCATGCGGCTTTCACGTGCACAAAATCCACTACCGGCGTTTAACTCCTCCCGCAAAACGGACGACAAACACCCTCCCAAACTCACCGCTGAGGTGGTGGAGAAGTTCCTCAGTGCCCCTGCCAGGGCGGCGAGGTTCTGGGGACGAGCTAGCCGGGAAAACATGCTGACAAACTCCGTCGCGGTGCAGTACAACCTTCCTGTCCCACCAAAATGGCAGCAAAGGGCGTCACAAAGAACGCATGCGTCAGAGTTAGTTCGGTCAAAGGTGAGAGGTCGTTTCAGGTCGTTGCTAGGACGCTTCTCTGTGACTACTTGTATCATTCCGCAAAACGTTTTGTGATATTATCTGAATATGATAAAGAAACTTAATACAACAAATGTCTGGAAGACTACATTGATATTCAGTAGTTTCATACCTGGGGAATATTGGTTGGCTCGTATCAATTTTATCGTGTTGCTAGGGGACTCATTTTATAAATCGTTGCGTACTATCATTGTTGTGGTGAGGTGTTGTTAGGTCGTTGGCCTGGGGAATGAACTTCAACAGGTGGAACAAGTTGTACACTAGTATTTCGGGTTGTTTGGTGACAACATGCCCCTGTCCGCTGGCTTAGTGCTGTGTGAGCCGACAGAACTGTACAATATCCTCAACCAGTCCACGGTCTTCCCATGTCTAAGCGATCCCAACTATTTACTACTCCTCGGTATGTATCAGGTGAAAACTGAAAGTGCCAAGTAAAGAAGCTCGCAATATGTATGTAGTATCAATGTTGATCTTTTTATAAAAAGATTAATCACTAGTCGACTCTTGCGTTTTGCCCCATTGAATATAACATATATTAATGTTTTTATATTAAACCCAATGACACTTGCTATTACTCCTGGTACTGAAATATTAATGGCAAATGGCTATTGACAGGCTCAATATATTAATGTGGCCTAGTGATATTTACCTAGTGTAATTAAGGAGGCATTGTCAAAGAGATGGTTCAGGAAGGATCGTGAGAGTGATATGTTAAAGGTTAAGAATGCCAGTAGCATTGGAGACTCGGACACTACTTAGTATTATAATTTTGAGGTGCAAAAATTCAAGTATCTGTACCACTTTGCTTGTAAAGGAAACATTGCCCATATCTTTTCACATATTATCCATATACCCTGGTCCATTGCATCCCTTTGATCTCAGATAATTTTGTCCCAGATAAGATTTTGTAATGCTTTGTTAAAACATTATATCCTTGTTTCATTAAAACAGATGCTCGGAGTAGTGAAGACTATGCAGTGAGTCATGTACTCACAAGCAAGAAGGCATGGGTAGGTGTTTGTTATCTTTAACTCATATTCTTTTTATAATAAGTGCATACATTTGATGCTCTGAATTTTCACACAGTAATCCCATACTACATGCATTTGTTGCTGACATAGATGATCTGTATTCCAGTGTAAGAATGGTGAATACCTGGTGCCTTATGATTCCGAGATTGAGTGTAAGACCCACTGTGTTGTGTATGACAGCCACACAAGATCTCTGAAGGACACGGGTGAGTAATAAGCCTGACTCAGCAATATTTTAAATTGCTTAAAGATATAAAGCTGTAAGTACACCTGCATGTAAGGTGCCTTTTGATTGTCAATGATTCAAATTTTGATGTGCATAGTTTTAACCAAGCTTCTCCCTGCTGATACATTTAATTCAACTCCTGTTTCTGATGCCTTCACAGGAGATGCAATTGCCTGTGCCACAGTTCTGGCCAACAGTGGAAGCAAGAATCCAGTGAAAGTTCTGAGGGGTAAGAGGCCTTTAGATATTTCATCATGCCCAATGTATCAGAATCTCATCATTTTACTTCTTAAAAATCAAGCTTTGGTTCATTGAATATAACTTTACAGGACCTACTTTCTTTTTATGATACAAGTACAAAGATGTGTTCAGAACACCATTTTTATCATGTTTTTCTTCAGGAGGCTATGAGGACTTCTCAGCCTTGTACCCCTTCTTAAGAACACAGAAAATCATCTACATGCCACAGGTAGGTTTCAAAATGTGTATGTGTGCAAAGATCAGTTTTTCTGACTTTCTTCCTTTCCAAGTTTTCTTCGTGTGACTTTCTAATATACACCTATGTAGAATATGGATCAACTTGGATGTGTTTTTGCAGGAGCTAGACGATTTGATGGTGTGGCCATGTGAGGTTCTTCCAGGACTGTTGTATGTGGCTAACTATGAGCAGGCCTGCACGGCGGTCATTCTGAAGGAACTCAAGTGTAAGGGGTACATCAACGTGTCCACAGAACCTGATCCAAGGTGAGAAGTAAAACATTATCATCAACTTCATACATATAGTATTTACTGCTGGGCCGATTTATGCATTTCATGTCCAGACAATAATTACAATAATTGTTGTATTTTATCTGTCAACAGCTTTCCAGGTCGTAAGAACCCAGAGGTGCTCAGAATAGTAGCAGAGGACTCGCCTGACACAGACTTGCTGTCCCATTTTGAGGAGGCCTGTGCCTTCATAGGTTAGTAGCTGACTTGATAAGAAATATATGACTTGGAACTGTACTTATTTTGCACATTCTCTCAGCCTTGGAGTATTGTATTGTTTATAGAATGTTACAAGAAAGGTCCACCAATTTATTCAACTGTGTCATTTTCACGTCTTCCACAGACAAACAGAAGAAACTTGATCATGCAGTACTGGTGTTTGACACAAGAGGGATCAGCAGAAACATCTGTATTGCTTTGGCATACTTGATGCATGTCTACAGGTGGCCGCTCAAGGTAAGCTCATGTTTTATTAATCATTGCCCATATTTGGACATCTGATTTTTGTTTTACTGGTTCTTATTTCCAGGATGTTTCATGTTGATTGCTCTCTTTCCCAGGATGCCTATAAACACATGCTGGGCTGCAAACACAACATCAGTCCCAACATGGGCTTCATCAGGCAGCTGGGGCAGTGGGAGGAGAAACTGATTGGAGCAAACGTCACCAGCATCAACGAGCGCAACTGTCACAGCTGGATGCGCTAAACATTTAGCTTGCATTTAATCCATCATCTCAACAGATGTTTGTGTGGATATAGTATGAGACATATCCGTCCAACACACTTTTCAAAGAGGCCAGGTTCTACCCTTTCAGCTGGCAGAGATGGTATAGTCCATTGCAGAAACTTCTCATCCACATAGTGATTGGTAGATATTAAACTGTACAAGTGGTCATTTCGGAAGCACAGGTCTATATATATAATCATGTGTCATATGTAAGGAATGAAGAGTGCCATAGAAATTAAAAGAACATTGGCTAGATACTTTTCGCTACTGGTAAAAGGTATTTTTATGCACTTATTTCTTTTTTTGTGGGCCAATATTGACAATCAATGTGACTTTTGATGAAAATTGTTACAGTTAAAGGTTTTAAGAAATTATTATGTATATATCTGTGTGTATTTCACACTTTGAACAATTTGATTCTAGAATCTATTTTGACAAGCATGTATATATCGACAAATTTTGAAAAGAATGTAACTTTTGTTTCGAAGAAAGTGTATGCAGGTAGATAAATGTACCTGTCATTTTAACAGACAATCAAGGGAAAAGATTTGCATAAGTTAAAATTTATATGCAAAGGATGTAACAGCAAAGTAATATAACATATAGTACAGCACTAATCTTGTGTGTATGCCTTACACAATGCTTGTATCACAATTGACATGTACTTAAAAATCTGTGCCTAGCTTTTGGTCAAAGAGTGAATCAGTGTAACATATTTCCGTCCAAATATCTGAATGCTTATAAAGTGAAACTGTGTGGAGTTTGTGATTATAATTCCTGTGCATGATGGAGGTATGATTATAAAATAAACAGCTGTATTGAAGCTTGCCTTTTTGCTCAATGTATCCAATATTTAATATTCTACAAACACATTGCTAACAAAAAAAATTCAGGTTTCATCACAGACTAACTATAGCTACAAATGCAAAGAATGTCTTTGCCTCACTGTAGAGCAAATATCCCATTAAAACCTTAAAGTCCAATGGTGTCATTTGTTATGATATAGCAGATCCATTAAAAGACAGAGCAATGTCAATGAGTTCTTTCCCAGTCTGATTCAGCACCCCCTCAGCACTAAACTCTGACGATAGCTCTCTTAAAGTAACAGCAATCCTTCGGCTGGTGATGTCCTCTCTGTGAATGGCATGCATCCACTTGTGCCTAGCATCTCCATGCACCACAATCAGAGACCTTCTCGGCATTGGTATGGCAACTTCAACATCGCAATACCTCAGGATATTGCTCTCTGACTTGTCCTGACTTCGTGTCATATCTTGGGGATCTGCAACAGCTTTAGTTTGACTACCAGGGTCACAGTCAGGACTTGGAACAGATTTCTTGCCATGCTCACAGTGTGTAGTTTGCTGTGTGGTTAATTCTATCTTGTCTGTTTCCTCACATGACATGGTCAACACGGAGTCAGCTAGAAGATTGACAGTTACCAGTCGCTCCCCCCATAACCAGAAGTCGTCAAAGTGTGGGTCGATGGCTGAACCTCTGGAGGGGTCGTACTCAAGGTGACACTGTTCCACAGGGGTGAAGTCCTTCAGCAGGTCATGTGACTTCATCCTGGCCAATAGGGAGGCAGAGAAGCTGGGCAGACCTGTGAAGCCTCCAAGCTTCAGCTTTTTCTTCTTGAAGTTAACTTTGGGGCCAAAATCCTTGAAGTAAAGCAAAAGGAAAACAAAACTCTTTGAGATTGAAACACATAATCGTCATTGATTCCTATTAGCATTGGTTAAATCTTACAGTACTGAATATCAAATGTTAAGGCCAAACAATATTACTATATAATACTGTCAGGGTTGCAAAAAACAATGTGCCTACATGTGCAAAGCATTTACAAGAAATTGTAGCATTCTTTAAGTTATAAGAAGTGTCCTACCTGTTTCTTCCTCCCTGATTGAGACATCTTCCACTCAGTACCTTCTATCACAGTGACAATTTCAGTCTCTTCCTCCGGTGTTATAAAGTCTTCCACTATCAGCACTCCTGGGAAGTCTATCTGCTCTGTCTGGCATAGAGAACCTTCTGTGTGACGCCATGCCTTGTGGCACTGGTGACAGTACATGTACCTCACTAGTCTTCCCTATGTGTATGTGAAGAGAATGTTATTAGCAACACATTACTACTATACTCATTTCTGCTGGGTAAGGAAGTATTGTTTTGGGTGGCTGAACTGTGGGTTTGCATGTCTGTTCGTCAACACATGGGGGGAAGATTGACAGGCAAAATGACTGGCAGTCCAATGGCAGTCAGACACGGGAAATGCCTCTGAAATCTAAATGTGTTCAAAGTACATGTATATGTTGTTTAAGGATTTATGTATAGATGTACAGTATGCACTTCATATCCAAGCAACAAGAGGAAAAGTCATGACTGACGTGATGATGATGCAACCAGTGCTTCAGAAAAATCAAAACCACCATGATCAACTTTCTGAACATAGATTTGATAATGTTTCATCCACAAGTGTTGTATAAAGTAGTTACCGCATTTCCCTCGGACCCATTGACTGTTGCCTTCTCTTCCTCACACAGCAAACACGTTCTGATGCCTTTACAGCCGCACTTTTTGGCAAAATCATCTCCTCTACTCTCCATGCTGCTTTCTGCAAAGAGGAAACCCGGAAGTGATCACAAACTTAGAAAACCTCCATTATCTAGACAGGGGTGCTACGAGTGTCTCTTATTGTTAAAATACTGGAAATTTGTTAATAATTTCGCCCAAATAACAAGAATATTATTCTTAAATTGGAAACTTTTAACTATAATTTAGTGCGTTTAACCTTTTATCTTGAAAGTCAACTACATTTGTATCCCCCTACAAGAATGGTGGAAGAATCCATAGCTGACCTTTAATCAGCTGACCCAAGCGCGGGAAACCCACACAGCTGTTTAGGGTCACTCCCTCTCGATCAACGTGAACCAGGTATGCTTTTTATAACCTCCTTGGTGGAACAATTTCTCACTTTCCGTTTCACAGATACATACTCTGGTTTAGGTAACGATGTTAGATATAGAGTGCATGAGTTGTTCTTCATTTTCAGTCTTCCCTTCGCCACGTGGAGAGGTGTATTATATGCATTAAGATGTAACATGATGTTGTTTACAGGAAGATAGAGTCACAAAATGCCACCCAGTCCGGCCCCCCAGGTGACAAAAGAACTGATCTTGCAGAGGACAGACTGCAAACAACTTGCTGATGTTAAAAAACTGGAGTAAGTTGTTGCAAAAATATCAATCATAATTTTTCTTGCAAATATACATGTTGTAGTTTAGGCTGCTATACTTCTGCATGCGATATACTAGTATCCTTTGATGCTTTAGGCAGGAGCCAGCAAGCTCTGGTGGTAATGATAGAATGGTGTATTGTGTACCTGCAAGCCAGACAGTAGTTTTTATGTGTCTAGGCTTCCCTGTATTTATAATTGGGGGCAGAAAATTAGATAAGAATGACTCGGAGATGTGCTAATAGGGGGCCATTATACAGGTGAGAAAACATCATGACTTAATTACTTGGCTGTTTTGTTCCATTGTGTTCTTGTTATCACCTTTTCAGTTTGATAATCATTACTGCTATTATATGTGAACTTTTCATAAACTTTGAAGGTAACAAAGGAGGTGTGGCCCTATTTCATTATGGGTGGAGTTAACATACAATGCCTTCCTAATGCCCTTTTCTTTGCACAGTCTGTCAAATCTAGGTTTAGAGAATATAGATGGAAACCTCTTCTCTCAGATGCCCAACCTGCAAGACCTCAACCTATCGAAAAATAAACTGGCGGCCTTCCCAGAAGACCTTGGGCTCGGCAAGCTGCAGGTTCTAGATGTGAGTGAAAACAACCTGAGGTCTTTCCTGTCCCTGGCACAGTTTCAGGAGCTGGAGCAGGTCAACATACACGACAACCCATACACTGTGAGTACATCAACCTCTCCACATAGATTCACATAGATACTATTTACTAGTAGTCCTTTTTTTATACAATGTACAGTATCAGTGTGCAGGCACGTGTAACCCTCGAAAGACAGGGAACAACAGATGGTAAACCGGATAGTGAGTGAATGAGTATTGCACTATGTATAATTATGGTTAATTGGTTATCTGACAATTCTGACGCTACTTATTTTCATTGTTTGTTTGTCCTCTCTGCCCACTTGTTTAGGCAGCAGACCGTGAACAGCTGACCTTCCTTCTGCCCAAAATAAAGTCAGTAGATGGAGACACAATCCAGGACAACCACAGGCAGTATCTGAAGAGGGTATTTGGAACTTCATTGGAAGAAAAGGCAGGTGTAGCTGTGTCTAAAATGCCCTCCATTGATTGGTCCTGACTGTCCATCACAATTAGACGTTCAACCAATCAAAGCATGGCAATTAGCAGTGTGACCAATAAGAGAATGACTGCATGTCTGTCAAATACTTAATATTCTTCCCGGGGGTATGTCTTATTTTGCATTGTCTGAGCTTAATATTTCCACAAGCCTTTGTTATGTCTTGTTTCAGAAAAACATGATGTGTTAAGATACATGTATATAGATTACAAAACATAAATCTGTGAGGGAACAAATCTTCTATCATAACAGAGAGGTAAGAAACAAAACCTTTGGATGATTAGCAGACATAACTGGATTAAATGTTGTATTTATACATGCAGCTTCAGACACAGATACTTGTACATGTTGTATATTGGAACATCCTGTTGCTTTTAGGAGTTAATGTATTGATTTTGCATTGACAGGTGGAACTTCTATGGGAGACCCAGTACAAGAGTTTGTTCAAAAAGAGTCAGTCTGCAGGTGTACAGCGTCTGCTACAGGACCAGTTTATCCAGAGGGCCAAACAGAAGATACAAGCTGGACCTGCATCAATGGCACAGCTTAGGGACTGGAGGGTGAGTTGGTCTGATTTTGTAACTGGTAGAAGATAAGATCAATGTTACCTCAAGTTTATAACCTTTCAGGCTTTGGTTTAACGAACTATTGAGGAGAATGCTTGTCTACAGGATGATGACTGAGCTTTTTTTTTTGTCATTTCAAGAAGAAAAAACGTGTCTCTACATGTTTGTTTTTGCAGTTCCGAATTGTGTTTTCTTTGCAGAGTAGTCATGATTAGCATAAATTTGTATATGAATGTGTTTGGGTGAATGTCTTGCTATAAGACAACTGCGGGTGGCATTAGAGTCAGAAGTCCAGGGTAAGTTGTCAGTGCAGGGGACACTAACTGCGGTGTCAGCAAGTAAGTTTGTGCTAATTCTTTTTTCATAGACCTAGTAACAAAAAGTTTCCATTGTGCATTGGGTAGACACAGAATTGTTTTCAAGTTCATTTTGGGAATAAGTGTGATATTCAAAAGGTTAAATGTGTGTGCGTAATTTTTGTATTTTGTCAACCATTTTTGCTCTGGTTTTCTAACATCTACAGATAGAAACTATCGCGAGCAAGCTTGTAGCTGAACAAGACTTGAAGATTGCCAGAGGAGAAGCCAGCATGTCATCAAAAAGGTCACATGAAGAGTCCTCCACCAATGGGGTGTCATCTGAAGCAGAAGCACCAAGCAAGAAACCAAGAAATGTGACCTTCAACGACAAGGTCGTCAATGCAGCTGAGAAGAGTTCTGAGACTGTCACAAGCAGAGATGGGAGGGTTAAGGTCGATCTCCTTCCTAAGACCCTGGGAAGGACACTTGCAAAGAAAGTGGTGCCAAAACCAGCCTCAAAGAAGCCAAGCCCTACTCTTAGTAAGGTAAAGCATCATAAGTTTATTGTAATTTCTCTGTATCACTAATACAATGTACATAGTGGTTTGTAACACTTGGTTGGTTAGGATCTGTATACCTACCACCAGTTAACAGCATAGCTACCATTAGCCATTGTTTGCATATCACATATTCTTGTTTCATCACTTCATCTTTGACCTCAGTCATGTCTATATTGAATAATGCTGATGTTGATCTGCTATTATTTCCCAGGACAGCACAGCAGACTATGAGCCCTCCCACATCCTCCAGTGTCACTCACTGAAGAATAACAGGGACGACATGAAGACTATGGTCTGGAAGTGCGTCTTTGAACCAAATCCTGACAAAACAGGTAAACACATCTTTTGATGTAAAAAAAACCCTTGTCCCTCAAATTGTTTGATATCCTTGTTTGTTCTGACATATTTGAGGATTTGTATTAGTTGAATTTTGAACGAATATCATTTGAGACAACATGAACAGATATGGGCAGTTTTTTTTGCCTTAAATACTTTGAATTCTAAATACATACTTTGTTGTTATATTCCAGAGGAAAGTACTTCAATTGTGGCGACTTGTGGTGGGGAGTCAGTTTGTCTGTTGGACTGCAGGACTGGCAAAGTTGTGCAGAAGTTCTCTCAACCAAAAGAGGTATAATTTTTTTTTCATTTGACTACCGTAGTAATGGTGTCTGAGTTGTCACTGTCCTAATAGGACAGTGACAACTGTCACTGCTATTAAATAGCTTTGGTTGCATTTGACAGTTGAATAAGAATTGGGAGGTCACAGTAAGTGGGTGGTATGTGGAGGAATTCAGGAAGCAATGTGATATCTGATTAAATTACATCATACAATTCCGATACGTTCACAAAAACCACAAATACCTCTCGGAAGTCTTGTGATTTCTTGTTCTTACTTGTAGCCATGTTGGTGTTCTTTTAATATAACTGTAGCTCTGTATGTCTTATCACATAAAAGACTGCTACAGGCTGTTGATTATATGTATTACTAAATGAATGCTTGTACCCATAGGACTTCTTTTGTGTTGTGTGGATGACAATTCCTCTTGACGACAAGAAGGAGAAGATGACCAACATCCTGGTTGTGGGAGGGAAGAAGGGGAAGTTTTACCTGATCCACCCACAGCAGAACATCTGGTACGCTGAGCATGAGGCACACCGCAGGGACATGTGCTCCATGGTGGTGCACCCCGACCAACCAACATGGCTGTACAGTAGGTCACATCTACATGTCTGTTCAGTGTACTTCATGTTGAATCAAAAACACCTCTGAACAGAGAAGGCCTCATGGTCTGTCATCATGACATACTTGCAAATTTTATTTTCACATCGTAATTAACAGTACATGTGCTGATTTACAATGTGTCATTTTTCACTTGCCTAATCAGAGCAAGATGGCGAAAACATTATGTTGATAGATGCTTGTAATGTCTTACACAGTCATTGTAATATTTTTTCCTACTTTAGCTGGTTCTTATGACAAAACCATCCGGCTATGGGACATCAGTCCACCTAAGCTGCCCAACTATGAGTGCAGAATCAAGTAAGTATTATCTTAAAATTCCATTTTGAACAATGAAATCTTACAATTACAGTTTTCGCTCACTAACTTACTATCTGGTTTTGCATTTGTTATTCCACGTCTTTTTATATTTGGAATTTAACTGTGCCTTTGATTAACATTCCAGTGGGTTCTTGTAATTAGCAATATACTCACTGACTGACACTTCTGTTGTTTTTCATTTACAGGAAGCTGGCTGAGTGGTCCCCACCATCCATCCCCCTCCACATGCTGTTGTTTCCAGGTCGTAACCTACTACTCGCTGCCTGCAGGTCGGGCTGTTTTGGCTTCAAGTTAAACCACAAGGAGGAGAACTGGAAGAAGTTAGTATTCATCTTAAACATTTTTTACTAACTTCAATAATACCTATGTTGTTGCAATGCAACAGTGCTTCAATATCACTTATATTGTTGTCTGAATGTTGTCCTCACATAGGACTGATTTCTTTGTCAAATTCAATGTTTGCCATTTTGAACTTCAATGACAAGGTATCAAAAGGAAAGAGGCTGACTGGTCATGTATGGTTGCAAAGTGATAATCTATAAAAAATATTTTCTGTGTAATTATCTGTTTTTGACGTTCACTTTCCTGTAGGACCTACACCACAGAGTTCACCTTCCCTAAGGTGGAGAAGTGCACAGAGGATGGGCAGGAGGTTGAGACAGAGTTCATGGACAACATGACCTTGATATCTCCAGATGTCATTGGTAAGATCTTCCCTTGATACGTAAATGTCTTTTCATGTCAAGTTTGTTCCTTTTAGGTACAGGAAACATCTTACATGAAGAAATTGGAAATTTCAGAAATCCAGGAAGTACATGTATGCAATTCCTGTTGGCTCCTGGCTTGATTCTAAGACCTTTGTCTTCCTGTCATCCTGTCTGCCAATCTTCCCCACCCATGTGCTATAAACCAACTCTGTCTGGACAAACAGATACACAAACCCACAGCTCAGCCACCCAAAACAATACTTTCTTATTCTTACACTAAATTGCTGTATACATTATCTTCATTCTTTTCATTTTTTCAGCTTCCAAGTTGGTAGGACATGGGTGCATCTACCTGTGGAACTTGCCAGGAACCCTGAAACGCAGTGCCAAGATCAAGGTCCAGGGTCCTCAAACCTTGAAGGTTCAGCCGGTGGCACATCTGGAGTGGAGTGAGACATTCATAGACTACATCTACTTCAAGATGTGGCCAGGTAAGTAGGATGTAGAGCTGACATGGATATTTTAGGAGAATATATTCATTTAGTAACACCTGACATTTGATAGAATTTATCCAGTTCATTGATTTATTTTGTATTATATACTGCTCATTGTGTTCCATGACATGAAATTCAAATAAGCAGATTGTACCATTTTTTTGTGTCCAGGCTATGACGTGTTGGTGTGTGGAGATGATGTGGGGAACACCTGGATGTATGATGTCTCCAAGTTCCTGACCAGGAAGTTGCCTGAGGACACACCTGTCCCACCTGCACAGGTAAGAACTTCTTTGGATCTAAATTTTCACATGCATATATTCTACAGTTATACCAACTATACAGATACAGTGTTTGTAATTAAATTTGATTAAATTTTGGTGTGTCAATTTCATAACTGTTCATTTTGTGATTTGTCAATATCTTTAACTGCTCTGGCATTTATCATAGACATATATGGAAGTTAGATGTTTGACATTTGATGTCTTGGTTTACCTGTCAGAAACTGTTCTGGCCAGACTGCACTTGGAATGGGACCAGGTTGTCAAAGGAGTCAGATAAGGATGAGGTAGGGTATAATTTGAATTCCTAGTTGATTTAGAAAGTTATCAACATTTTAAACCAGACAATTCTGGTTTGACCATTGAATGTTCTTTATTCATAGCTTGTCATAATGTGTCTTATGTGGATTCAATCAGCAGGGACTTTGATACAGTACATTCTTTGCATTTGCAATGTTCTAATAGCTTTCTTTTACAAGCTCTATCTTTTCTTTGTAAGCTAGCCTTTATTTCACAGATCAAATGGATCATTTTACACATTTCCACTACTGTTTGCAACTTGGCCAATACCACTTTAAATTCTTCTGCCTTGACTTCCCCCATTTCCCCTAGGTTCCCACTGTAGTTTCCCCATCCTCCAGCATGTCTGAAACGAAGGTACGCCTGGTTGGCAGGACTCGGTGACGCCATGTTGTTCTATTTTGTATACCAATGTTAAAGTTTTGATACATAGATTTTCTGTAATTCTCAGTTCTTTTAATTTGCTAGGTTGCACCCTTTGTTTTGGCAGTTCTAGTTGTAGGGATGGAAAAAGCACAGCTATAATACTGTATTTTTTTCTGATAACTACACCAGTACTCTTCTAGACTACAGGTCAACTGTTGCCAAAAAAAGAGGTTAGAACAACCCAAATTTTCTGTTGATGCTTTAATTTCATATTTTCGTATTTATGGTATTTCTTCCCATTCAGCTGCCAAGTGTGAACGACATTGCCATCAGTTCCACCGGAGACTTCATTGTGGGTGTGACAGACTGTAACCTGGTCTTCATGTGGAGGAAAAACAAGACTGTGGAGTAGAAAGAAACTAGACTGTAAAAGATCACACAATCTCAGTCTTTTGTTTCTTGGGAATTGCAGTCAGTTCACATTGCTGATATGTGTAGCTATAAGATGACTAAATACTGGCAATGTTGAACTTATTTCTAACTTACATGTACTTTTAAGGAAGACAACCTTCCTTAGGATCATGATTTAACATGTTGGACATAGAAGGAGAGATTAGCACAAAATATTCTGAAATATTTTAAGGATTTCTGTAACTTCTGTGTTGGGAATTTAATGATATTAACATACATATTGCTAGAGTTCTTTTCTTTCTGCATTGTACAGAATCTGGGAAGAGATGTTGATTGAGTTGTTGACAGGATTGTTAAACTCAATTTTTTGGTCGGCTAATTTTGGAAGCATGTATACATTTACATGATACATTTACTGACCAACAATGTTTGTTAAATTGGTGGCAGGAACATTTTTAAATCCTACTTATGTTGTAGGATGTGATTTTATTTATTGCATTCTGCCTCTCATGGCATTAAGTTTTACTTGCATTAAGTTCCATTTCATGTTTAAATCTTCCTTGTTTCTACACATTATTCATAGAATGAAAGATTTTATGACAAATTTTTTTGTATCTTTCAATCATTTCTTTTGTAAAGCTCTGTTCTCTATACGTAACTTGTTTACGTAACTTATTTTATTAGTAGTGGGCTGACCTACTATTGTAATGCTATATGTATTGCTTATATGTATATCTCAGTAATGTATACAAGTGTAGACTCTTCCTTTAGTGCCATTATTTCATGAAGATGTAGATATATTTACTTTATAAAACACTCGAGTCTTTCATTCAATTGCATCATATACATGTAAGTTACAAGACTAGGGAAGAATTGGTTGACAGGAAATGTTCTCTTTGTCATCAAGTTTAAAGAAATGACAGTCCACCAGATCTGACAAAAGTATCAGTTTGTTTTATTTCCATATACATACATGAATAGTGCAGTATAATGTAAGAATACAAGTTTAGAGCTAGAATTCTTAAAAATAAATTTTTACAAAACATTTTACGCATAACATCAGGTAAATCAAATGGTACGCAATATACAGTTTATCAACTACTCAATGAAATGAACAACCTTTCCATTCCTTTTGAACAATGTACAAATATTGAGAAGACGTTGCCTATTCCTAATATGAAAGGATCAGTAGTCAAACAGCTCCAAGTTGTTTTGTGAATTCCCTAGGGAAGACACTACAGTTCAGTAGTATGGTCATTAAGGTAGCAGAACACAGTTTTCGCCCTATGGGGATTCCTATAGTTAAGCACCTCGAGGTGACTCACTTCAACGCGGTAAAAATTATAGTAGGGTGCACTATTGAATCACGGCCAACTAATATGTTGAAATATACGGTATATTCTACAAAATAACTGAAAACCAAAAAAAGTTATCGTTTTTTAACATAATGACGACCACTTTGATTTGGCCCTCTATCGGGGTCAACGGAACTGCAGCCGGCTCACCCTGGAACGTGGTTGCGTAATGCCGCGCATTTATACACGAACAGGGAAATCTTCACAATCCAACTCATACTGTGTACAAGCCGATACCTTTCCTTACCAAACAGTGCAGTTCATTCATGGCTACCTTTCACATAAGTCGCTTTAGACAGGATGCGAGAGGTCTGTCTGCACTACTTTCTATACCCGCGTCATAGACTCCGGGGGTCGCGGATAATTACTGTGTTCTGCGACCTTAATCGACCTTGACCTTGAATTTTTTTTCGTTTATACGATAAAACTAGTCAAGATGTGAAACTTGGCCAAATTTTATTCCACAAATCCGAACGGTTGCTGAGATTTCGGCAACTTTGCACTTCGGCACCTGTCGTAGGGCTAGGTCCCGTACAAGGCCCTAATGACGGACCATTTAATGGTCTTCTTATCAGGTCAAATTTACTATTCCAGCCGACTTTTTCTGGCTAGCGTGTATCATTGTTGTATCCTCTCACGTTCTGAGTGATTTGTACTTAGTGTAATCCGTTTTTACGGCAGAAAAGGGGGGGGGGGTACGCGTTCTCGGGCCAGTGGGGAACTCCCATAGTAAAGCATAGGGGGCGGTCCTAGTGGCCGTTGCCATGGCAACGGAGGTCTGACGGTGAAATAAACTGGTGTATTTTACTTGAACCGACGTCAGTACCAGATATACTAAGGAAATTTCACCGAATTTGACGCGGTTGATTAATTCCCGTGGGGGTTTAAGGTAGCAGAACACAGTTTTCGCCCTATGGGGATTCCTATAGTTAAGCACCTCGAGGTGACTCACTTCGACGCGGTAAAAATTATAGCAGGGTGCACTATTGAATCACGGCCAACTAATATGTTGAAATATACGGTATATTCTACAAAATAACTGAAAACCAAAAAAAGTTATCGTTTTTTAACATAATGACGACCACTTTGATTTGGCCCTCTACCGGGGTCAACGGAACTGCAGCCGGCTCACCCTGGAACGTGGTTGCGTAATGCCGCGCATTTATACACGAACAGGGAAATCTTCACAATCCAACTCATACTGTGTACAAGCCGATACCTTTCCTTACCACACAGTGCAGTTCATTCATGGCTACCTCTCACATAAGTCGCTTTAGACAGGATGCGAGAGGTCTGTCTGCACTACTTTCTATACCCGCGTCATAGACTCCGGGGGTCGCGGATAATTACTGTGTTCTGCGACCTCAAGTCCATAGAATCCTCCAGGGTCATGGGAATAGTGAGATCACCATGACAACACCCATAAACAAAGTGAAGAGGATGATGGGAGTTAGGAATCCCCACACTGGCCACAGGCCCACCATGCAGCACAGCCCACCTGAAATAGATAAACAGATACTCAATTTCTTTCACATTGTTAGATCATGATGAGGAAAAAAGAGGCAACAACACTAAATCATACTATTTGAGTTTCAAAAATAATAGTCTCAAAAGGATGAGATGTTGATGTGCATATTGATGATACCTACCAATGATGAAGCTAGCTGTTGCAGTAGGAATGGCGCTTGGGTACCGTTTCTCCCACTCATCTGTGCTGACACCTTTGATCCAGGACAGCCACACAATCAGGAATGCACCTATGGGAAGGATGTAGTCATGTCATACAAGTGCTCATTGGCACGTTGTTACCAAATGCATAAAAAGCCGACTGCAGTACCACTGGACAATGCCAGGTGAACCATTTTGGACCTTAACCTTCGTATTCACAACCGCTATTCACCTACCAAATATCATGAAGATCCATCAACAGATTCTTGAGTTATACTGTTGACATACATACAGACCCACACCACAGCCACACTACGATGGCCAAACCAAAAACATAACCTTCTGTGGAAGGCAAAAAGAAAGCAAAACATTAGGTGTCTCCATCTCACCTATCCCAACATTGAGTCCAATCAGCACGGCACCAGGTAACAACCACAGCCAGTTGATCCTGGGGTCCACTCTCAGAGCCACGGCAATGTCTGTGTAGTAAAACATGGCCATGGACGCCACCAGCCAGAAGATGGTGTGGGCATTGATTCGGGACAACTTCTCTTCCTTCGCCTGTTGCGGTCTGTCTTGAGAATCGTCCTGAAGTTGCTGCATGAAGGACTCGGCAAGGCGAGACTGAACCCTGTGCCGCAGTACCGCAGAACTGTCACTGTCATCAGCCATTATTCACTGGTCCTAATTAAAGATGCTCACTTTTAGATTTTTGGAACACACGAAACGAGTCCTGAAAAAAAAGATTGGTAACGTTACTGGTAACATAACTTATGACATTGAGACTGATTTCAGAAGCAATAAATCATCTCTATGAACAGTGCTTGAACTCTACAGAACCCTTTAGTTGAACATCATCACTTTCACCCTTTACTTCAGGAGAACCGTAGCAAGTAGGTTATAACGTTAACGTATGTCCTGGTAAAGCCTTAACCGTAGATATCCTTAATTCTTACACACCACATGAATGTCTTGATTTATCTCTCTTCTACCTCCATGATTTAACCTTATAAAAAAGAGTGACTTTGATCATTATCGTTTCTTTTTCTTCTTTCACAACAAAGTAGGACTTACTACAAGCTCTTCTGAAGACGAAACACAGCTCAAAGTTGGTCCAAACCTGCCCACGGCCGCCCTAGTTCGACTTGTGTCCTTCCAAGTTCCAATCCACTGTGTTTTCAGTCAGCTTCCGGGTCTGAATGTTCACCAAGCTATTTGGACTATACCACTGTCTGTCTCAAATGGGGTGATAAAATATTGTTGTTCTGAAAGAAGATGAACATTAGTGTTGTGTCTTATTAGCAACAAAATTATATGTGAGCTTTTTAGTCATATGAATATAAAAAAATCTCATCAAAATGACATTATATTCTCAGTTTTACTATACAATATTGATTGGGCATCTGTATAGATGGAATCTTCTATTGACCCTTGACCGCGTCAGCACATGGCGCATATTCATGTCACCAGTTGCATAAAATTTCTCCCGTCCAGAGTAGGCCTGTACTCTCCAGCAACCTCTTAACATGGCGACTAGATTGTTCTCCAGACATCTGTGGTACCCTGTGTTACAGTCAAGACCGTTTAGTACAACAAATGAGGCTGTGAGAAGCGGACTGTTGAAGTTAGAACGGGGTGGGAGGGGGGCGATCAACGTCACATCATGTACAGCCAGATACATGTCAACAGATGTGGACTTAGGAGCCAAGGTGCAGAAACCAAGGAAGTTTAAGAAGCCCCGACGTGAGATCTCGGATCTGGAGAGACGGCTGATGAATCTGTCAGAGCAGGAAGCTGATTTTACGTCAGAAAGCTCAGAAAGAGACTGGAGCACTGATGAAGAGGATAGACGTATTACCAAGGTCAGATCATCGATCATGTATTACATGTACTGCATTGATGTAGTACAAAAAAATGTACTTAACATTTTGTCTTCATTTTTTATGGCTACAGAAGTATTGTTTTCAGTGGAATTTGTCTAAAACAACAGAATCTTAAACAAGAAAGAAGAAGAGCTGTGGGTTTGTGTGTCTGTCTGGACAGAGTTGGTTGTCAGCACGTGGGTGGGGAAGATTGGTTGTCAAAATGATTGGTCAAGAAGTCAGACACGGGAAATGAGGTAAAATCAATAGTAGGTTGATAACACATGGGCAGGGGGAAGAATGACAGGATGTCAAAAGGTCGGACACAGGAAACAGGGTGAACTTCAAGGTCACAAAAAGGTCTTCGGTTGAATATTATAAATTGCAGCAAAAAAAGTCAATTATGGAAGTTTGATCAGGAAAAATTGATGTTCACATTTAGGTGAATTCCAATCATGTTCCTGTATCCATGGATCGAATCAGAGCCAGGCAGATTGGAAGCTTTGAAGAGGACTTCCTACACCAGACCAAGTCAGAACGACCCAGAGCCGGGAAACCCGCACAGAAACCATGGAAACAAGGTGGGTGTTACGCAATCTCTCGCTGTCAAGGCCTTTGTTAGAGAACTATTCCCAGTCTCAAAACCACTACCAATAGCCATCCTTTTGTTGCTGCAATTTACACTCTGCCTAAATTTCCCCAGATTATGGAAACTGGAGACAGGACAGATGGAGGGAGGAGGATGATGAGTCATCACCATGGCAACAGAGACGGAGACAACCACGGACTTCGAGGTGGACAGACAGTAGAAGCGGCTATGGTGATGATGAAGACATGTTGCCATGGGAACGGCCAATGAGGCAGCAGAGGAATGAGAACAGGTACAGGTGGCCTTTTGAATCCTCAGAAATCACTCGCCTTTTTGTGTCTCTTTTGTGTCAAAAGTTTTTTTGTACAAAATGTGTTATAATAATCTCCTTTTTCTGGGTATGGAAGTCTTGTCTACTTGTGGAGAGTACAAAAATTAAGGTTGACATCACTTGGGGGGAGATTGACAAGCAGAACGACAGGAGGGCAATACACAGGAAATGGCTCTGGCTCGGAGCCAGGGACATGGGGGGATTCAGGGAGCCAAGGATAGCATTAGGAAATTCCATCAAAATTGTAGTCTTGAGAAAATGATCCATAAAAACAAACTGTGACCTTGCCACATTAATCTGGAGCACTTTAATTTGGATAGCCCCCACTCATAAAAGTCCCCATGTTTGTCCACAGGCAGTTGAAGCATGCCCCTGCACCAGGTAATGAGTACCTGCATGGCATCGCTCCCTGTCTACTGGCCCTACAGCAGGGTCAGAGGTCATTCAGTCAGCTGTTCCTGAAGGATGCGCCCTACCAGACAGGTGCAGACAGGATCGAGGAGATAGAAGCCTTGGCAGATGAGCAGGAGGTGAAAGTCGTCAGAATACCCAAACATCGAATGACCAAGATGATTGGAGAGGGAACTCACCAGGTATGTGATGTACTCATTTATTCATCATCTTTGCCAAGAAGGAATTTCTTTGCTTTGAACAGTTTGCAAGCAGTACACCCTAAAAGCTGTGAATTTATTTATGAATTTTTATTCCATGGGTGGGCCTTTGGATGTGGAAGAAGTGATTTAACTTTTGAAAAGCCCCATATCCAGCATCCTAATGTGCTAAATTCAAAGTTTACAAATCACATTTTTACTCTGTCTAATACAGGGAGTGTGTTTAGAGGCTTCCAAAAGAAGAGCTGAGCCCCTTAACCTGGAAGATATCAGGTAAGATTGTATTGTTTATCTTGCCATGGTGAGGAAAGAATGCCCAATGATGTTCTATATTTGTATACAAACATATGTCTATCATTGTATTTCTACCCTACGTAAATGCTAGTTTTTGGCAAAAAATTCATCATGTTCTCAATTCTTGTTCCCAGCCCAGCTGTAGAGTCAGACACAGAAAGACCTCCAATCTGGCTGGTATTGAATGAAGTGCAGGTAAGTCACTTTTGAAAGATGAAAGATGGTGATGGTTTCACAGATCCCCTAGTAATCTTGGAATTTGTGATATCACTGGCCTTTTTGCTTTGTTAGCAAGCAAACATTTTATGATTTGAGAAGCTTGATAACTCATTTTTCCATTTACATTGTATCATCAAAGATCTAATTCATATGTTGACTTTTTAGGATCCCATGAATTTTGGTGCCATCCTGCGGTCTTCATACTATCTTGGAGTGGACAGAATCATAGCCAGCAGCAGTAATTGGTATGAATCTTGCAAGCAATGTATCACATAACTTTTACCTTGTTGTGGGCTACATTGTTATTCAACTACAATTGCACTTTTGGTTTACGCTTCATGACTTATGTCATTTATACGTCTCTCTGGACAAGTTATACAGATGACGCTTCTGACTGTGTTTTTTGTTGACCTTGTTTCCACCTGTAGTAGCCCCTTGACTCCTGTGGTGAGCAAAGCTAGTTCAGGTGCCATGGAGGCCCAGACAGTGTATTCTATGGAGGACATTCCAGCACTCTTACAGGTATGTCAGTGTTCACAATAAAGTCCGGCTCTCTTGCAACTTATGTCTGTATGTTATCTACATCCAAAAGCTAGATTGTCTTGAATTTGTAAACATGGTGTTTGCTGTCTTTTAGAACTTGAGCAGTTCCGGATGGACAGTGGTTGGGACAGTGGCAGCTACTGAAGACTTGGAGGACACAGTTGTTTGTGGTGACTTGGCTCTGAGTGGACCCACTGTCCTTGTTCTTGGTAAGACTTATATAGCTTAGTCCTTTTTCCTAGGGATTGAAGTGTTCCCCTTTTCTTACAAGGAAATCTGTATGATATAGACCAATCATATATCCCTACCCACCCCCATCAAAATGTAGTAATGCAGAATAAAAGATAAAATGCAAATATTTCACCGACATATCTGACACCCACTCTCTTATTGATCAAAATACCATGCTATCATTGGTTGAATTTCTAATTGCCATGCTATCACCGCTTATTGCTGTACTGTGATTGGTTAAACTGCTAATTATGCTGGACAGTTAGGATTGGTCTTTTAACATCTGCAGGCAATGAGTGCCATGGACTGAGCACAGAGCTGGAGAATTTGTGTACAACAAAGGTGACCATCCAGCCTGGGAGAGAACTGCATCCTGGGATTGATTCCCTCAACGTCTCTGTAGCAACAGGTGGGAAACAAGGCAACAGTCGTAAAATGAAAATGTCGCTGTACTTTTCATCTAAAAAAATGAACAGCTTAAAGTATGTGACATACATGTTACATGCAGCCACTAAGTCACTTCACACAATGTAGCATCTAATATGATTTTTTTTTGTTTTGTTTCCAGGAATTCTACTTCACAGCATCCTGTCCAACAGAAAGTAGTTGCAGCATTGCAGTGAATTCAGCTTCAACTCATCTCAAATGTACCATGCTACGGAACAGGCCTCACATCTGCTAAAAGTCTGATGAAGTAATCTGCTTGATAGGCAAGATATGCTGCAGTTGATGTCAGTGGACGAAATCATTAAGCTACAATGTAATAAGAGAAACTATTGAAATGTGATATTACAAGATGAGAAATAAAAGTACAATGTCAACTTCATCATTGATATGGTTATTGATTGCTGTTTGACATAAAGTTACATCAACTTCACCACTAGAAAGGATATCCAACACTATACCCACCTGAAGATTAACCGACATGTTCCCAACCAGCATTCCCAAACAAAGCATGTTCATGCATACACTATGAAGATTAAAATGTTCAAGTTGGAGGCAAGGTCCGAAGAAAGGGTAAACAATCCAACACTGGAATAATCTTTCTAAGGTTACATATGTACAATATGCTGTTAATGGTGCAGTCACTTTCGTTGTAGCTTGTAACACAAGTTTTTAAGCAGGCTTTGACAGAACCAACCGCTGGCAACCATTTAAGGAAGCATTTTCTGTTACAAGACAGCAGAATTTTGTTCACCACTAGAAAAGGTATTTAATACTACACCTACCTGAACATTAACCGATATGCTCCCAACCAGTAGTCCCAAACAAAGTATTTTCCTGCATACACTATGAATAGAAGATTAGAATATTTGACTTAGCCCTAAGATGCATGACAGACAAGTGCTGGTTATGGTGCAAAGGTAACTTTATTGGAAAAATAGACAAAGCAAATCACCAGTACACGAAGTACTCATCACACAATCACATCTATTGTCTGCTTCAATCACATCTTTTTATGGTTTTGCTTCATTATTTCTCTCATGCATGCAGTAGAAAGCAACAATAAGTAATTTCTCTATACACATCCATGATTCCCATATTACCAGCTATCACTCAATGTAGGCAGACATTAAATCTTTCCAAAGATGTATGAATGTAGAAACTATTTCAGGCAAGTGGCTTCCATTTTAGTCATAGAAATCTAATGCTTGTCTCCATATAATCTGATTCTGATGCATGTAAAAACAGCTGTAACTTGTAAACCTGCTAGGAACATGTTTTTATAAACTGTACAGTCAAGGACA